TTTAGACTATGGCTCATGTGAAAGTGCAGCACTGCATGCAGGAAAGATTCCATAAAGTCGCCGTTTCGAGCTCCAGAGGCTGTGACCGTGCAGAGGTCTGGTTTATCAAAGGATTGTGCCCGGCGGCGACGATGATCGCTGTAAGAATCTCCATACATGCTGTTGTAAGCATACGCAGCTCCGGCTCCAACAACTGCAGCAGCCGCTGCCGCCCCTGCAGCGTACATCGCCACATTGGTCTGCTCATTAGCAGACACGGCATTCGAGCCAGAGTAGCCGTAGTTGGTTTGATGCGGCATGTTCCCACCATGGTTGTTCATAACGTCGTTCTTGCTGGTGTATCCGTACGGCACGCTGCGCCTTCGCCTCGCTGAGGTAGACGGCGATGGGGATGGGCTGGGTGAAGGAGTAGGGGTGGGACTGACAGCGGTACGCCGACGACGCACTGCAGATGCCACCGTGGTGGTGCTGGTAGTAACGCTGCGCCTTCGACGGGTCGCTGCCGTGGTAGTGGTAGCCCCTGTACGCCTTCGTCTGGTCTCTGTCGTGGTGGTGGTAGCCGGCGTGCGCCTTCGCCGCGTCTCTGTTGTGGTGGTAATGGGAGCTCTTCGCCGCCGAGGCTGCATAACATTTGTCTGCCCGTTGATGGCTGTGCTGCGGCGGCGAGTTGATGCAACGATAGGTGGTGCAGGTGGAGGGGCTCTCCGGCGAACCTCAGGAGGCCGGAGTGTGGTTGGAGTATATCTGCGGCGTCTGGTGGGGGCTGATGGTTTAGAGGGAGCCCGCCGTCTCCGGCGAGTGTCAGGCGCGGGCGGTGAGCGGCGTCGACGACGGTCAGTCGTTGCTGAGTATCCACCGCGCCGGCGAGCTGAGAGCAAGCGTTGCTGTGCGGATTCATCCTCCGTGTCCCCCTCAATGTCCTGCACCAGCGAACAAGTAGCAGGAGCCTACAGAGAATGCATAGAGTTGCACGTTCATCTACTACAGAATCCTCCCCGGCTTGGAGAATGAGTTTGATCCCAATGCACCATTCCACTTGAGCTTTCCTTGACTTAAGCGTGAGACTACAAATCCGATGGCGCACCTCCAGAGCTTGCCTCATCAGGCTACCTAAACGCCTCAAAGCACGTCGTCGATTTGGAGTGCACGTGTCGGTGGATTCGACATAGGTTGTAGAAGGGTCATCGCCTTGGGTTCAGCGGACGTGTTTTCCTTGTAAGCTCAAGGTCCTGGTAGGCTAAAACCAAGACCTTCACAAAACAACGGCTCCGCTTCAGGCTTCAACTTATCAAGCAAAAGGTAGAGTACATTTGCAAAAAATGTGAACCCTGCAAGATATTCCTGACCCATGCGGTGCTGCCGCTCTGTACGCCTTCTGCCCTTCCTTGTTGCTCCCGCACTACCGCACGTACGCGTACTTCTACTAGTACATCTGGTGGCAATAGTTGTACCAGTGAATCCTCTTCCAAGCGTCCCCGACATGCAGACGAGCAACATGTCTCGTAGCTGAAGTAGTAACCGGTGCCAAGCCAGGAAATCTTTGCAATGGGACAGGCCTTGTGCAGTTTAGGGATTGGTTGGCGATTCGCCGTTCAATGTCTGCTGGCATCCTTATACTGAAGGTACTGTTCGTGGCGGTAGGTGTGGCGCTAGAAGTAAGAATGGTGGTAGCATTCGCAGTAGTAGTAGTAG